GTGTGGGAAAACCCCACACACATCTGGTGTTAGAGGTATTGAGAGTAGAGGAGAAAAACAGTTTCCCCCTACAATCAAGAATTCAAACACAAAGAAAAGAAGTGGACAAAAACAGAAAGAAGTGAAATAGAGCTGATTAAACACAAGAAACAGAAGAAAAATGGCAAAATCATATCAGAAATGAACACAAAATTACATAGTGCCCGAAGAATAAATTTATACAGAAACATAAGGGCCTTGAAGATAGCAGAAAAATAACCAAGAGAATGAAAATGAGATAAAGAAAGAAGTAAAGAATATCAAAGAGAAGGTGTCTGACACAGAAGACAGGTAAAAGATTCAATTTGTGTATAACTGGAGTCCCTATAGAGATAAAACAATGGATCAGAATACTGAAAATTATAATCCAAAATAACTTTCTGAAAATAAAATAAGACCTAAATCTACGTTTTCAAAGCACCCACTGAACTCTTTAACCTGTTATCAGGGAAAACTGGGATGCAACAATCAGGATCCCCAGGAAGAAAGATCAAATAACTTACGAGGACAAGAGAATGAGACAGGCATCAGAATTCTCAAAACAACATAGAAAGCAGGGCAAAAACGAGGTAGCATTTTCAAAGAACTCCAGAAAAGAAATGTCAGTCAAAGAGTTTATATTCCCCTAAGCCATCCTTCAAGCATTAAGGCTGCAGGGAAGTAGTTTTAAACATGCAAGAGCCCCTGAGAATTCTGTAACCATAAGCTCTTGGTGAGGAATCTACCAGAAGATAAACTTCATCAAACCAAGAGATGACGGGGAGATCTCAGCAAAATGATTGATGATGAGTATTTAATATGGTTAGTTATGTATCTTGGACTAAAACAAAGGTGAAAACAAGAGGAAGAAGAATACATCATATGGTGTGTGCTGTATGTTCTACGTTGTATCTTCTGACAAATTATAAATAAAACGACCCAAAATCTGATGCAGAAGGGCGAGGGAAAAAAGGAAAGTAGAATAAGCTCACTGGTTGTTGTATACGCAGTAAGTAGGAGTTAAAATAAATACCATTAAAACTCACAAATCAGTTAAATTTTAAAAACAAGGGAATAAAGGCATTAAAAAAGTTACAAAATCAAAGGCAACCACTAAAACAAAAAATTAAACACATACCTAAATATAAACAAATGCTTAAAGGAGCAAAAAAACAAAACACAACAAAAATAGATCACAAAAGAGCAAATATAACATAAAACACATAATAATCATAACATAAAATAATATAACAGACTTGATACCAAACATGTTTTTATCAAGAAATATGAATAGGTCAAAATAAAAAGATTTTTGATTTAGTTCACCAAGACCCAGATATATGCTCTATACAGAGGTATACCAAAAACAAAATGGCTCGAAAAGCTGAAAATAAAGGTATGGGAAAAGGCACACCTGGAAAGCAGAGAAAATCTGAAAGAAGGAGCAACAATACTGATAAGAGACCAAGCACAATTAAAACTAAAAAGCATAAACTTTGGGGCCAGCCCGGTGGCATAATGGTTAAGTTCACGCGCTCTGCTTTGGCAGCCCAGGGTTCATGGGTTTGGATCTCAGGCATGGACCTCCACATCACTCATCAAGCCATGCTGTGTTGGCATCCCATATACAAAAATAGAGGAAGATTGGCACAAATGCTAGCTCAGGGACAATCCTCCTCAAGCAAAAACAGGAAGATTGGCAACAGATATTAGCTCAGGGCCAAACTTCCTCACACACACACCAAAAAGCATTAACTCTGATGCTAAAAGTCTCAATGCATTATGTGAAATGTTGTCAATATCTATGCACCAAATAACACACCATCTACCCTTACGAAATCAAAACTACAAAAGATGCAGACAGACATAGATAGAAGTTCATGGATAATAGGAGATTTTAACATCTCACTCTTAGCACAAAACAGATTAAGTGGACCAAAAATAAAAAAGGATACAGAAGACCTAAATAACAATTAGTAGAGCTTACAGTTATATATTGAACTTCACAGCATAATAATAGAGAATACACCTTCTTTGCAATTGCATATGAAATGTTCACAAAAACTGATCATTTATTAGCTCCTCCCCCCAAAAATACCAATATGTTCCATAAAACAGAATGGCTAAAAACAGTATTCTCTAATCACAATGCAATAAAACTAGAAATTATTAACAAATTTTTAAAAAGTAAAAGGCACTTTCATGTGGAAATTAAATAACTTCCTATTAAACAACTTCTGGGAGAAAGGGGAAAAACAAATAGAAGTTACAAAATTTTTAAAAATGACAATGAAAATATTATATATCAGAATTTATGGGCTACAACTGAAATAGTAACCAGAAGACAATTCATAGCCTTAAATACTCTATTAACGACATAAAAAAATAAAAATAAATAAATTCCCAGCTCAAAAGTTAGAAAAAGAACAAAGAAAGCCAGAAGAAAGTACCAAGAAGGAAATAACAAAGATCAAAGCAGCAATTGACCAGGTAGTGAACAGAAAACCAGTAGTTCTAATTAATAAATCAAAATCTTGTTTGCTGAAGAAAAATAACAAAATAAATATACCATTAGATAACTTAATCAAAGAGCAAATCACAAATATACAAAATCAGAAATGACAAGAGTGAAATAACCACTGAAACAGAAAAAATTAAAAAGTCATGACACTACTTTACAGACGTGTGTTCAAATAAATTTGAAAACCTATAAGCAAAGGATAATTTCCAAAACTGATCTCATTAGAGATAGAAAGTTTAAACAGACCAACTTCCTTAGAATAAATAAAATACTCCACAAAAGCACCATGCCCGATGGTTTCACAGAGGAATTCTACCAAGGCTTCAAAGACTAAATAGCCTCAACGTCGCACAAATTGTTTCAGAGCTTTGAAAACGTAGGAAAACTTCTTAATTCTTTCTTATGAAGCATGTAAAACATTGACACGTAAACCAAAAAAAAAGAAAAAGTATAGACCAATATCACCTATGAATATTGATACAAAAGCTCTAAATAAAATATTAGCAGATAGAATCCAGCACCACAGTAAGAAAGTGATACAAAGGACAAGAGGGATTTAGTCCAGGAAGGCAAGGTTAGTTCAATCCATTAATAGAATACATTATATTAACAGCTCTAAGAAGAAAAATCATGATAATCTCCACAGATAATGACAAAGCCTTCAACAAGACTTAAGATCCATTCCTGACTAAAAAAAACACTCAAGAAAACAAGAATTGATGCATACTTTGCTAGCATGATAAATAAACATATATACTCTGTCTTAAAGCCACCAGCTTACTTTTAACAGGAAAACACTAGAGCTATTTTCACTAATACAAGAACTAGCTGTTCTCTATAATACTATTTAACATTGTAATAGAGATATGTGCCAAAGCAATTCAAAATCAATTAGAGGCATCGGAATTAGAACTTGAAGATGTAAAACTGTCTTTATTTGTAGATGATATGATCATATACCTGGAAAACCCTAAAGAATCAAGATCTTTAGATGGTAGAGAAACAGGCATTCTCAAACATTGCTGCTTGTAATGGAAATTGGTATATTCCTTATGGATGGGAATTTGGTAATATCTAACAAAACTATATATATGTTTACCTTTTAAGTGGGATTTAAGTGTAAATCCCACTTCTGGGAATACACTCTGAAGTTAATGCTTTAATAACGTGAACATATATACAAACAAGGTTATCATTCATTGTGGCATTGTTTATTTACAAAATATCTGAAACTAGCTAAATGCCCATAAGTAGGAGAGTAGATGAATAAACTATAGTACATCCACATATTGGCGTATTATGCAGAATGAGAAAGATCTCTAGGAACTGATACAGAGTGATTTCTAGGACATATTTTAAGTGAAAAAAGCAAAATTGAAGAGTATCCAGAGTATTCCACTTTTTGTGTAAGAAAAGGGGAAATAAGAAAATATACATGTGTCTACTTACATGAGCAAGATTGGTTATCTACACAGTGTGGGACCCTGCAGAATGGGTTGAAAGAATAGAAGAAGTAGGGGGGAGAGCAACACCTTTCTGAATATACCTTTAAGCACATCTTGACTTCGGGAACCAGGTTAATGTTTACTCAGAAATGTCTGCTCAGAAAAATGGACAAAACGAACAAGGATGGGAAGAAAACCCTAAAACTGAATACAAACAGAAACAAATGAATCAGACTATGTTTCGAATGAGTAATATAACCACACTGATGGAGGCGAGCAGAACTAACTTAACTTTTAAACACAGTATTTGGACTAGAAAAAAAAGCTCTAAACAAATGTTGAACTCTAATTATAAGATTCTTTTTAACAGAGGCATGGCTTTGCAATTCTGAAACTAATTTCTGAGCATTCTAGGAGTTAGCATATAAGTAAATATATTATGGATAATGGGAATTAGGAGTTATAAATTTGGAAAAGGAGAAAAAATAGAATGAACCCTGTGTAGTGTGGGATCAGAATTAGGAGGTATGGATAGAGATACACATACACACACATATATTCATACACAGATACACACAGACACACACATTCACATATACACATTCACAATAATACATTTACTCACGCTGTTTTTTTTTCACCTATAACAATCTTAGCTTTAAGATTCATATAATTATACCCGAATAAATGAAATTTCACAATTCCTAAAATCTAAATTTAAAACATATTGGCTATGCAATCTATAGCATAGGAATGCGTTACAAAAAACTCAGGAAAAACAGCTTTTAAACAGAGCAGCCAGGCGAATCCTTAAATAGCAAAGAATTTACTCATATATGTAACAGGATCATAAAAACAGAAAAAATGTAATATTAATCCCAGTGGCAAATATTCAAATGTGCCCAGCTCAGATTATTTTCATATTAGCAAGATAAACACATTTTCTTTCATAGAAGTTGCAAAGATGCAAATGCTACTTGGTATTTCACAATGAAACTTATCAAAAACCACTGTACCTTACAGTAAAATCATAGGAGCACGAGGCCAGCACAGAAGCATAAAATGGTGAAAACTACAAGAAACAAAAACAACCTTTTTGAAGTTAGCTGTGACTATAACATCCTACTTCACATGGTCATTCCCATGAACATCACCATAAATTAAAGTTCAGTCAGGGCTGTCACTTAAAATTATGCTTTCCTGAACCTTTATGCTTTAATTCAAGGCAAAAATCTTCTGGCCTTTTAAGTATCATCTACAGAAAAAACATTTATTTTTACATTCTCCAAAGAAAAGTCATTACTCAAGCTTTTTAGAGCTTATTTAGAATAAAATATTCCTAAAGTATTGTATTCTGGAAAAATTAAATACAATTTCACATTGGCTATCCTAAAACGACTCCTACAAAATATAAAGGATTTAAGTATGTGATAGTACAAATATATAATTTAGAAATTTTATGAATACACATTATGATTGCTAAACACACAAGTATGAAATAAACATTTAAATGTTAAATAAAAACATCTGTAGAAGAATTTTTGTTCTTTGTATATTGCAGCTCATGAAAAATGATATCAAGGGGGCCGTCCTGGTGGCGCAGTGGTTAAGCGCACAAGCGTCCGCTTCGACGGCCCAGGGTTCACAGGTTCGGATCCCAGCACACACCTGCGCACCGCTTGTCAAGCCATGCTGTGGCGGCATCCCATATAAAGTAGAGGAAGATGGGCACAGATGTTAGCCCAGGGCCAGTCTTCCTCAGCAAAAAAAGAGGAGGATTAGCATCGGATATTAGCTCAGAGCTGATATTCCTCACAAAAAAACAAACAAAAAAATGATATCAAGGACAAAAGCTGCAAATATAAAGACAAATAATATCTTTTGGATAAGCAATAAACATACTTTAATAGGCTGCCCTTCACAATTATATGTCTTCAGTGTTTTTCTCACCAGTACTTTAATAGTTATATACACAGATACAACTACATTTGAATACACTTTATAGTTTGCAAAATATTTTCACTACATTACCCAATTTCAGTCTCAGAAGCACTATGAAACACATATAGAAAATATTTTTCAGCTACTAAAACCTGTGTGCCATTAAAAAAAACAGGGCACTGTGTCTCATATGCTGAACTGCAGCCAGTAAAATTTAAAATATTTATTTAACTGAAATCTAGAATTTTTGAAATAGGAATAACATAATTATATTATTGAAAAGATCAATAAGGTACTTTTTTACCCTTAATGTAATAAAATGAAGAATGAAATTGGGAGATGTCACTTAATAAGACGTTTTCCACAGTGACTTAGCAAAACCTACCACATAAAAGCCGGGAAACTAACTTAAGTCACCTTATAACCAGGAAAATTTCTCAGGAGCAGCAGAAAAAAGTTATCTTTACCTCACCTTCTGCCGTTTGTGGAGTGAAAAGTTTTCTACACCCCCAACGTTTGTGAACATTCATATATATTATCATGTTAGAGAAAAGAAAGAATTAACCATCTCTCTATACGAGTTTCAACAAAGTAAAGAGACTTCTCATTGAACAGAAAACTATGAAGAATATAATACCAAAAGTCAATTACTATAGTTAAATATTAAAAGGAATAGTAGATTGAGGATGACAGCATGAAAAACATTTTTATTTAACCTTAAGTACTGATTGGCTACATTGTGCTAATTCATTCAATAATTATTCAAATATTTTACCTAATTTTAGCTTTCAATGTTTATCATCATTAATTGGGTAACAAAAATATTCCTAAAAAGAATCAATAATCCCAACCCCTAAACACCTTTTACATATACTTCATTGATTATATTTATATTTATATTCTACATATAAAAATAAAAGACAAAAACTTACTTTCACTCTCCTAACAGCATAGGTGTGACCAAGAAGCTCAAACACTGGTTGTCGCACATTCCTCAAGTCCCAGCCTCTCAAACTACAATCAACTGCCCCTGTCACCAGCAAATTCTGGAAACAAGAGACAAGTCAACAGTGACTTTTTTTCAGTTAAGCAGTACCCAGGCTCTCCTACTAGAAACAAGATCTATTTTCTAGTAATTATTTAATCTGAACCCAGGAGTCATTCTTGAGAAGTTATATGACAAGTATGGAAAGAAATCAAAACACATATCAAAAAGCAAAAATTAGTATGATTTGAGAGAAAAGCAACTCAATATGCTTTGTGCATTTGATGGAACACTACACACAGCAGAAAAAGGCACAGGCCCAAACAGCAAGGTGGACTCTCCAACCCACCTTTAGTAGTAGTAATAAATCAGTATGTAAGGGATTAAAAATGATGTCTTACAAATGAGCTCCCCTTTCTCTTCAGCATGCTCTGATTTTACTAGGCATTAAAAGGCAAGAGCCCTGTTAATTTAGGAATATTTCAAAGAGCAAAGGGTATAAATTAAATTTTTCTGTTTTTCTAACTCTAAATCAATCCTTGTTCCCAACTCTCATGGGCCATGTCTTAATATAATATCTAATCATACCTGAGAAGCTATGCAAACAGTGCTAAGTCAGGTTTTACAAATTCTGCCGTGTGGAACCCTAGGTGAATCCAGAGTTCCTGACTGAACAGGCCAAGCGCTGGGGCCACACTCAGCCCCATCCCACGTCAACCAGTGCAGTACTTCACTGTCTGAGTGTGCTGGGCTTCAGGATAAGCTCATTTGAAGAGAAGTTTCAATAGTTTAGAATGAAAAAAATGTTTAACCACTCTCAAGTGTATAACAGCATCTTTTTTAGAATTCCAAAAAGTATAACATATCGTCCACAATTTCATTTCATTTTCCTAAATGGAAAATTCATTTATGATGAGAGAGACTAGGACTGTAGTTATCAGCATTGACATTTTTATTTAAAGTTTATTATTGAATATGTACTATATTGTCCTGTAAGCTATTCTCTTTCTTTTTATTTAAAGAACTCTGTCAATACAATGTTCTCTTAACTTTCATTAATTAATTTAAACTGGGAAAAAACAAGGCATATGTTTTACCTAAGCATCAAAGTCAACAGATCACTTCAGGTACATAAATAGTGGATCAACACATATTTAATCCATCTCTATTTCTAATTCATGTGCTCATGTGGTTAACTGAAGCTGTGCAAAAAGTTACAAATGGACACTGCTATCTTACAGAAACCTGAAGCTTGGTTAGGCTTATATGGGAAGATGAAACAGAACATTTTAAAAACTGATGAAGTATCAAGCTAAAAATCAAGCTACAAACAGTTCAGCAGCCTGACCAGCAAAGTGAACAAGAAATGAAAGAAAAAGATGATACAAATCGGTGAGGTTATGAACAATAAAAAAATTACACAAATTGTAAAGCAATTTGCCAAGCAAACAAGTAAGGCTGCCCTGCTGAACTTTGAGAATTTCTGTTTCTTATTAAGCCTGTTTTATGTGCACTTAAATCCAATTAATGCTAATGCAGGTCACTCACAATCATCAATTAGAAATGAAAGGGACTGAATTTAACTTAATGGCCCATAAACACTCCCCAAGTCTACATAAACAATGATGAAATAAAATCTAGAACATTTCAACATTAGGAAGGGCTCAGCAGCTCAGGACAGAGCTGGACAGGGTACCTCATTGTATTTACACCAGTCACAACTCAAAATTTCTGCTTGATGTGCTGGAACCACAACTCTGACTCCTGTTGACTTCATGTCCCATATTCTCAGAGTCTGATCACCTGAGGAAAGAGAAAGATGCGATCACTCTCCATCACACCACCTGGATGCTCGGGGACACACTGTAGTCATGACGATAAATCAGGGAGCGTGCACTGCTTCCCTGCGAGGACGCTGCCCTCTGTGTATCACACACACACGTATACTGTCTTCACTATAACAACACGTAGGAACAACTAAGAGTGCTGCACCATGATAATGTTTTTAGATCCACTCAAAGCAGGAAAATTTGAATCTCACGCTGAGCCAAGCACAGTGGTGACGAAATGCACACCAGGGCATTTTCCTTCAGGATCAGAAAAGGTCCTGAAAATCCTCATTTTGTAAATAAAGTTAGCGCCTTGTACCAGCACATTCTACGAGAAACAAAATGGTAACAGTTTTACTGTTAAATGGGGGCAAAGTCTACCAAGCCAAAATGGACAATTTTTAAACTTTAGCCTTTATGTTTACTGCATTTTAATGGGCCAGACACAGGTATATTTTTCTTCTTAGGAAAAACAAGTTGAAAAAATTTAAGGATTATATTTTGATTATTACAAAATGGTTTACATTGCTTAGCTGCATCAAGTCACCCCGATTAAATGTTTTATATGCTACTGGCCTTCAATTTTTGTAAACTATGAGGAAACCACAAAATGACCAGATGAATAAAACTCAGGATATATGTATCTATAACAAAAGTAAATCACAAACAACAACCGATCATGGAAGAAAGCTGGTTCAGCTGAATGAAGAGACTGTGGTCACGGCACGATGGCAGTCAAGGTTCTAAACTCCATTTAGCAGTTGTGTGACCCTGCACAAGTTATACAATATCTGAGACTGATTTCTCTTTTCTAAAAAAGAAATAGAACGCCCAGATGCAGGGTTGTACAAGAATTCGGTGTAATAAAGTTTCTGTAAAGCACTTAGCATGGTCTCTAGCACACAGTAGATACTTTATATTGTACACAAAAATGCTAAAATTTCAAATTATCCTTTGCTTACCTGCATATATTTTCCTATATTCCCAATTCTAAATTGTATGTCATTAAGCTAAATTTAGCAATTTTTGACAACTTTTTTTCTGATTCCTTTGGAAGTTGCTTAAGAAAGATAAGAACTCAACTGTTGGTGGTAATGAATGAGGAGGTTAAGAGCAGGGGCTCTGGAGTTCCAGAGCTTGGTTCTAATCCAGCTCAGTCATTTGGTAGCTGTTAATGTTTAATCAAGTAACTTAACTTCCCTGATTCTCATTTTCCCCCCATGATGAAATATCTACCTTATAAAGCTGAAATGAGATAAGGTTTTAAAAAATAAAACAAGAAAACACACCCATGATTAGAAGTCATCCCTGTCCCTATTAATAATAACGTGAATAATAGCTAATATTTACCGAGTGCTTCCTATGTACCAGACGCTGTTCTAAGCATTTTATATGTATTAACTTTTTTAAAATATCACAAGTGAGGTAGAAATTTTGATAACATAAAAAGTAATCTTTGATGAAATAACTCACTCAAGACAGCAAGCGAGGGGTCAGGGTCTGGCACCAGAAGCTAGCTGGGCAGCCTGCTCCCAGGCTGGGAGCTCTACATCTGCACCATGCTGCCTCGGACACTGCCCGAGGGAAGTGCCCGTGCAACCAATGCTGGCTGAATCTTGAGGAACTATTCTTGTAATTTATATGTTAATTGTTTCTACAAATTGGGGAGAAAACATTTAATCTCACACACACTCACACACACGACATTCTGTCATATTTGCCCCTCAGTTATTTTAGAAATAAAAGTAATAAAACACAGCGGATAACCTCTATTCTATTTCCAACCCCCTTCCCCATCCTCCTTGCCCAGAGGCCACTATGGTCATGAATTTGGTATGCATCCCTTTAGTCTGTGTTGTTGTAATATTTTACTACACTTTTATGAATTCATAAGTAAGTACTATTGCTTTGTATGTGGGATTTTTGAATTTTTTTATTTAAAAACACCATCCTCCTACTTTACAGAAGGTTGAAAACTCTGATAGAAGGGTAATTAACATTTTTGGATCTAGCTAAGGATGGCAGGGATAAGAGGGAATGATGAATTTGAAAGTAACAAACTGAAATTGTTCAGAATTGGTACAGACTAGAGCTTCAAATAGCTTCAGGGGCCCTAACTATAATCACTGTCAGTGGTCTAGCCACCAGTCAGTAGAATTTGTTTCAGAATTCTAAACAGCTCTGATAAAATGATCTTTCAGAATATAAAGTAGGGGAGTGTGGCTGTCTAGCGTTTGGTCTGCTCAACAACACCCTTCTAGGAACAGCATCCTCTTCTCACCATGTGATTCTAGAAAGACCTATGGCTCAACACAGCTGACCAGCCAGGGACAGGTCCTAGCAAGGCCAGCCATAGTACCACAGCTGACAGGTCAAAGGTAGGCACCTGGGATTTTCTGAACCATAACTGAAAAAATAATGTCAGTCCCTCTCTTATAATAGAATCTACAGATTATAAAATTGAGGAGCTGCTGGTGGCCATGTGTTTCATTGTATGGAGAACGCCAGCCCGCAGAGTCAAGTCAACAAACAGAGAGTCCAGATTAGAGACTGAGAATGTCTCCTGCAGCCATTCAAGCATCCTTTCCCTTTCAATAAATTCTACCAAGACCTAAGATAGTTCAAGTTCTACCACCTATAGGCAAAGGAGATCCCTTATCACCTCGGAAGGAGTGAATGGAATTCACTTGAAGCTTCAGTCTCCAAAAAGTCTAGCCCCAGACAAGAATATGTAATTCAGCATAAGGCTTCCACTAAAACATGGGAAATGCCTAAATGATGAACACCAGCTTTCAAAAATAGACATCTAATATCAGGTCTGAAACTATAAAGTCTGCTAGAGCCATGACTAAAGCATTCTTCAAAGTTCAGTGAGCTTGTGTTCATCCTAATAATTACATTTTATGGGTATGTGAATGATTTAAAGTGCCAAAACATCACAGTGAACGTGGACTAGATTAAGAAGTAACTGTTATTCCAGCAACAATATGAATGAATCTCACAAAAAATAATGTTGAGCAAAAGTAACCAGACACAAAAGTATAAAAACAAGCAACAGGGCCAGCCCCGTGGCTTAGCGGTTAAGTGCGCGCACTCCGCTACTGGCGGCCCGGGTTCAGATCCCGGGCGCACACCGACGCACCGCTTGACCGGCCATGCTGAGGCCACGTCCCACATACAGCAACTAGAAGGATGTGCAACTACGACATACAACTATCTACTGGGGCTTTGGAGAAAAAAAAAGGAGGAGGATTGGCAATAGATGTTAGCTCAGAGCCAGTCTTCCTCAGCAAAAAGAGGAGGATTGGCATGGATGTTAGCTCAGGGCTGATCTTCCTCACACAAAAAAATAATAAATAAATAAATAAATAAAAACAAGCAACATTAACCCGTGTTATTAGAAGGCAGGACAGTGGTCACCCTGGAGTGGGGGTGGGGGGTGATGACTGGAAGAATGTGGGGGGAGCCTGGGAAAGTCCCGTTTCTTGATCTGGGTGCTGGCACACAGATGTGTTAGTTGTGAAAATTCACCATGTTGTACCCTTGAGATTATGCACTATTTTGTATTTATACTTCAATAAATGATTAAACAAAACAACCACAAAGGCTGGGTGGATGGCTATTCCAAATTTCTCTGGGACGATATTCTGGTTCCTCACTATCATATTCAAACAGCATTTAAAAAAAAAAAAAGCAGCCATGGCTTAGGTTCTCGCCTTTTGCAGCTAATTTAAAGATTTAAAGGGCACAAAAGAGTGAGAGCTGCTCTGAAGGAGCTAAGGATTCCACTTCCTCACAGTCGCTTCTGCTGCACACATTTGGCACTTGATCCTCATCATTCTGTTTTCCAGGTAGGAGAGAGACCTTCTGGCCAAATGGTACCATGACTCACTCAACTCTTTCAGCCACCAGGACATCTGCATTTATGTTGTTTTTTAATTGCATTTTCCAGACAACTGGCCTGTCATTGTCAGCCAGACATTTACCAGGGCCTGTAATGGTGCCACAGACCCACCTGCATTACCAGCTTCCCTTATCAGTTGCAGACCTGCCACTGGAGCAGAACCAGTGGACTGAAGTGCACACCACGGAAGAGGAAGTGCTGGCTGCCACTCCGTCTAACTTCAGATCGCAGCAGTGGGTGAGGAGAATGAGTGTAAACGTTGAATCTGAAACTGTGAAGTGAAATGAGGAGCAAAAGGATGCATATTGGGCCCAAATAATTTAATTGAAATGCCAGATGCCTATCAGATGTAACATGACTTTTTTCTAGAGCAGAATGAGGTTTTTTTAACTACTGGACCCACACATTCAGCCATGGCTACAACTTACACAAGTACATGGAGTCTCTAACAGCAGTAATTTAGTTTCCACGGTTCAAAAGAAAGTTTACTTCATATTAATCCTCCCTATGTAAAGAGCTCAAATACTCTCCCCTTCTATCTCATATAATCTGGAAATATGACTTGAGTACTATACAACTTTCATGAACAACAAAACTCAACGTCCGCAGAACCTCTCCTATGAAAGGTGAACCTAGACCCAAATCTAAAAATCCCCCTCTTTGGCCCGTCTTCACTTAGCTAATGATAACAAATTGAGTTCTAGATTTGCAAATGCCACACAGCTTTGAAGGTGACTAAATTCTTGGAATAACTGAAATGCTATATTCTCAAATATAATCTTAAAATATAAACCGTTATAAGCAGTTGAATTATGTAATTAACTATATGTGCACCACAGGATTAGACACAAAAATACATCTTGATTGCCTATCATATAAGCTTCTACCACTTGTAATATTTGTAAAAACAACTATTTTACAACTTTGGGTTCCATATCCACAAATTTTGCAGTTGAGATGATTTTTATGCAAAGATTATACTATGTTTTATAGCAAGTTCTTGCCTGTAAACAAGAACATAAAGTAAGAAAATTAATTAATAAAAACCATAATACAATTCAAACTATAAC